ACGGCCCGCCGCGCGCCTCCGCTTTGGCCGTCGTCGGCGACTTCGAACGACTTCATCTCTTCAACCTCCAGGCAAGATGGCGACGAGCTGGTCACTCTGCTTGCTGCTTCGAGGTTTACGGAGTACACCCAACAAGTCACGCAGGGAGGCTGGATGACAGCTCCCGCCCTGTCTCAGATTCGCCTGGAAGACGCTTCTCGCGGGTGTCTGCATGCATGGCCTCCCCTGCGCGCCCATCAGTCATAACACGCGGCGATATGAGTTAAGGACTGGGCACTCCCATGCACGAGCGAGTTCGACACGCCCGGAAGTGATATCTTCACGCAGGCTAAGAAAGGCGCATGTCTCACAGGGGAAAATTCAACCAGTTAGCTAGTTGGCTAACTAACTAACGACCGATAGTCTTGTTGTACCTGCTTCTGCACCCTGCTTGAACCACAGAACCCATAACAACGGAGTACAAAGAGTGGAAGAAGCCAAAGTTGAAGCCTTGGACGAAACAAACACCCATTCGTCCAAGCCTTTGACCAACCCTCTCACGCCACACCACCCTCGCCAGTGGAAAGTCAAGCTTAGCCTGGCTGAACGATAAAACAAAGCAGAGGCGGAGTCGCCGTTGTTATTTTATTGTGGGTTTATCCAACGCAGAGAGAGGCGGGAGGTCTGAGATGGCGGTGCTCAGCTTTAGCCTGTCCCCTCAGTCTTCCCACTCGTTAGTTATCTATAGTTAACACCACCTAAAGTAGTCAGTTACCCACAACCCGCCCGGTCCATCAACCATCAACCGTCACCCACCAAATTTTTTACCATAAAGCTGCCAAAAACTCCACTAGGTCGTGACGCAATAAATATTTACAGAAATTATACATATATCATTACTGAGATATTCGACTCGCCAGCGGAGTTAAGTGGAAGTTTTGCCGAGTGCTTCAACAAGCTAGTAGTTGTTTTCCAACTAACTAGTTATATAATAAAAAATTGCAGCCGGGAATTCCTCCGCAAATACTCCTTATCGCGAAACAGTTACCCTTCGCTCTTCACTGGCTTGAATATTAACTCATACTTGATATCTAGGCTGACTTTTCTTAAAATCTTTCCATAACGGCTGGTTATTCCAATCTTTGAGCAATGCGTCATGAGGCTCCCTCCGTTAAGTTCTATTTACTCCATATCGTTATCTCAGGTCGGAGGATAGCAGCGCTATCCACTCCTACTGGATGGAGCCGCCCACAAATACGGAGTAGCAAAAGTATCTCTATTAATATAACTAGGAAGCAAGTTATCGAAGGGGGATCAAAAGGTTTTGATTTCGGAGGCCGTGCATTATGGTTAACTCCTGAGTTTGTTCGTCCGCCCGTCACCCCGTATCTACCAGTCAACAGCTGATCCCAACAAAAAGACTTTGAAAAAATCGCTTAGGCCAGTGATCACTCTTGATGCGCTTTGGGCCGGGCCTTAGCTCCATGGACAGGGATAGACGTTTTCTTGCAGATATCCACTCGCGCTATTCGACTTGGCGTGCATCGGAGGAAGAAGGCAGAAGACAGGCATCCATGGAGCTGTCGTCCTGTCAGAGGAGGTGAACCAGAGTGTCCCTGGACCTGCGCAGGCACAAGACGATGATGATACGGAGTAGATGGCGAGGAGCAGTTGGCCTGAGGATGCTGAAGATAATGCACTCTCGCAAGCCAGCCATGCAGCTAATAGAAGCGGTTACCCTTCAAACTTGGCGAGGATCCAGGGTAGGAGGATATTTAATGCGTGTCGTATCCAAGGCAACGTACAAGCCTCTCTTCCCAAGGTTCCAGATGGGAACACACTATTTTCAGCGGCCGTTATTGGCCATTGCCAACGAGGCTGAACTCCTCTGTTGGCACCAGCAAACAACAGTTGGGCCGTCGCAACGCAGCCATTGAACGTAACTCTGTCGATATTATGCTGTCAAGCCTAAACTGAGGGTTGCCCGGAATTATGGGAGACTTACGGCATCTTCCGCTTAATCTGCGCCAGAGGCCTTCGGCACTTAAGTAAGTAGATGCTGGCATTCTGAGCTCTTCGCCCAACCCTTGCTTGCCCCTCCTTTCGTACATATTACCGAACGAGGAGTATCTCCCTGACAACTCACCCCACTTGGGCAAGAGAGTCTACTGGTCTGCTCGATTGGGTGATATCTCCACTCCAGCATTGTCCAGAAATTGGGACGTGTGCATACCCTGTCATAGTACCAAAGTATGGAGTAAGACTGAGTGTTGATGGCACATTGCTCGTCTCTCCAGCAGAACCAGGGTAGAAGATGACGACTGTGTTATGGATATCACTTACGGAGTACTCCATACTGCTCATTGAAGTCCAAATCACCGCACCCGAAGGACGTGCTATGCTGGCTAACTGACGCAAAGCCATCACGGAGGATAGGCGCTTTTAGTGTACCGAGATAAGCTCGCAATTGATGGAATAGATAGACAGCCTTTGCTTTCTACGTCTTGCGGGGTGAGCTGTATATTGGCAGCAGAGAAACTCTCGAACTACAATCGTGAAAAGCCCTGCATACTTGGTTCGCCTTGCGCATAAGCTCTCCCCATGGGCTTTATCATACATGGCTACATCCGAAGCGGGAAACCCATACAACGAGCGATGATCAGGTGCCCGGCGTAAAATCCTCAAGATGCAGACTACCCTGGGCGCCCTCCCCTGCGACAAGAGAACATCATCATGCATGGAATAATATCGACCCCGAGTAAAGAACCGCTTACTTAGTTGTCCCTTGTCCGCATTCACCCCAGCCATGTATCTGAAGACATAAGACTAACAATACGATGTCGCTGCTGGATGTTGCATCACCTGTCAGACCCCCATTATTTTCCTTACTGGACGGAGTAACTACAGGTAACTAATAACAAGTTATCATTTGCAGGAGAGTTGGGACTTGCCCTTGCCAGGTTCATTTGCTTCGCGAGACACCACAAGTTAGTTAATCGCCCACTTGGTAATAACCCCCTGAAACTGGAGTTGACCATCACTTACTCGCCATAGCCGCATCCGGATGCCATCGCACGATAATAACAATGTCTGACCAACAAAGAAGGTAGAGAGAGGAGAGGCGAGAAACAGAAGAAAAGAGAAGAGAAAACTATTCATTGGGTGACAAGGATAAAACCTCCATGCACAACGATCTTGGCTGTCCAACCATAGTGAAATATATGGCGCGCTAAAGCGACGGCGCCAGGGGCTCCCCTGCAAGCCTCGATGTCAGACACCCAAGAGGACAACAACCTAACTCGGGGATGGACGTGCCATGGGAACAAACAAGCGGCATGGTCAAAAATGGAAAAGTGAGCGCGCCGGCTATCATTTTCCACGCCCGGGATGGGGTGGCATCGGCCAGCGAGGAATCATGCAAGGAGTCAACAGAGGATCTATTCGTACGGAGTCCCCGTCCTCTCAATACGGCAGTTGTTCCCTCCCTGGCCAGATGGAGAGAACATGTTGGATTTTGGAGAAGGCCCAAGGATGCAGAGGCCCGCAAAAGACGTCCCCATTTTGCGGAGCTGCCCACCATTATAGTTATCATATCCTTTTATGAAGGGGACGGTGAAGGGATTTGCTTCCAGCAGTTCTCATGGACCGATACTCCGTAGACACTAGCTGCACAGCTAAAGGGGTTAACAAGTGAGTTCATCTCTGGCGTTCCAGCCTGAGCATACGGAGTATGTACTCCGTACAAGCGGAATGATACTCGTTACGGACTACTCGGCCATGGTCTTAACGCATCCTGCAGGCTCTGAGTGCATGCCTATCGATGAACTTACCTATGGATACGGCCTCTCGCGAGCTTTCTTCTTGACCAACGACCAACGCCCCGGCCCCTGTGGCTTCTCCCTTGCAAGCACTTGCGGCTTTTTTTGGGTTTTTTGGTCC